ACCTGGCCCAGCATGGTCAGCTCTCAGGAGGCCTGAGCTTCTGCTCAGAATTCTGGTGATTTAATAATGGATACAGCAGAAGACTTCTGGCAGCAACACGAGACCGGCCATAGAAAATGGCCAGCAATTTAGACATGCTGGGAACGGCAGGTCACTGGTGGGTTTGGAAAGATCTAACATTTTCCCCAGCCCTCCTCTCCCCCAGGAGAAACACGGCCCTCTGCTTCCTGGAGGGATGGAGAATMACATGCATTCCATTTCCTGAATGTCCTCAGAGGCCTCCTAGGATCTGTGGTCAGTCGTCCACTAAGGGCCTCCTGCCTGGCAGGGCAGTGCCGAAGGGCTCTTGGCTCCTGTGGGTGCCTGGCCCCATGCCCCAACAACCCGTGCGGCCATCTCAACCTAGTGGGGCCTCAGGGAGCTGGAGTCTAACTTATGGTCCAAGGCAAAGGACAAAGAAGGTCACACCAGCAGCCCATCTAGCTGCCGTGGGGTCTGCGTGGCCGCCCCACCTCCTCTTACCTTCGTACAGCCAGTCGCTCAGGCCGTTGTAGATCACGCCCTCCTTCCCGGTGGAGACCACGCGGATGGCCTGCTTCCCCACGTGCGCACAGTAGTAGATGTTGTTCTCAAAGATGAAGATCTGGTTGGAAAGAGGAGGAAGCCGCGTGAGCCAAGGGGGCGGCACACACAGGCCGCCTCACGCGCTGAAGCCATTTTCGTTTTTCTGTTGTATTTATTTGAAAGAATCATTTCATGTTTCCCCACCAGCAACACGATCTCTATTCGAGTTTCAATCAGACTCAGACCCCACAGAGTTCACCCAGCATCATCACCGTTTCTCCATTTAACATCCAATGGCCCGACTGGGCGATTGGCGGCCTTGGTACTACTGGGTACTTCAGCATCAGGTGGCACTGGGCACTCAGCAGTTGCAGTCTCTCCCCAGTTATCAGGACTGGTGGGTGGGGAGCCTGGAGATCTGGGTCCTGGGTGCTCTGTGCTCGCTATAGAACTGTGTGGTGAGGACCTGTCTGTACCAGTCACAGGGACTCAGGGGAAGCGAGGTGGGACCCCAGAGTTCTGGGAATCTGACAGGGCTGCCTGGCCTTCCTTGCATAGCAGACAGGTGAGCCKCCCTCAGAAAGTGACTAAAGAATGTTCTCCCTGGCCGTTACAGTCCCTTTTAAGTGCACAGCTCAGTGACATTAGCACAGTCACATTGAGGCAGCCATCACTCCACCCATCTCCATGACCTTCCCATCTCCCCTAGCCTCCGCTTGGCTTTCTGCCTCCATGAATTTATTTACTCTAGGCCCTGCCTACAGGTGGAACCCTGAGGCGTCTGTGCTCATGACTGGCTCACTTCCCTTAGTTCCAGTTAGGGTTCGTCCCTGTTGGAGCAGGCATCAGGATCTGGAGAAAGTGGCTTTCTGCTGAGAGATGGACGACATTTAGGGCCACTGTTTTACTAAGCTTTCTTGTCTCTGTTTCCAAAAGGCTGGACAWGAACAATTTTTAAGGAGGACGAGTTTATTCTGGCTCATGGTCTCAGAGACCCACTCCATGGTTGGCCAGCTCCATTGCTCCAGGTCCAGGGAGCCAGAGCACCATGGGCCCAGCACCAGTTCCCCCTCAGGAGACCGACCCTCTGCTGAGGTCCCGACTCTCATGGTCTAACCACTCACTCTGAAAATCCGTGCACTGTTTTACACTCGGGCTGAGGGGTCAGGACCCAGCTCTGGGGGGTCTGCGGCCACAGGAAGCCCCTGACGAAGGCCTCAGTAGGAGGCAAGATTAGCTGCAGGCCTCCTGGGACCGGTCGAGGGCTGGGCGGGAGCCAGGCCCTGGACGGGACCCTCCTACAGTCACCTGGAGGGGACAGAGGTGGGAGGCTGGTGGGATGTCAGAGGAACCCACCGGCTGCCCGAGTGGACCGTGGTCTGGGGAGACGTGCAGGACGATGCAGCCTCTCTCTGGCTGCTCTTGGGGGCCTCTGGGTGATGGCGTGCCAAGGGCAGACCGCAGTGTGGCCCAGGATGGCCCAGGATCTGATAATCTGACCTTGGGCATATCACTGAGGAGGGGTGGAGGAAGGTCCAGGATGGGGTTCTCGGAATTCAGTGCATAATAGAGATTTTAATCATGGCTTTTAATAAAAGYACTTTAGACCCCAGTGCCCAGTCCACCACCCTGACCGATTCTCAGAATCTCTGGTGGGGGACCCAGGCATCGGCATTTTAAAGAAGCACAGGTGACTTCGGTGTACAGCCAAATTTAATGACTGGTGCCCAGGAATGGCCTGGCACTCCTGAAGCAGGCACTGGTCTGCATGGTACGTGTGCTCTGGGCCACGGGCCTCTCTGCCCTGCATCCGCCCACCTCCCTGTGGGTACTCACAGAATATTTCTGGTCCTACTTTGCAAATACYCAGTGTCGAACAGAAGTGGTGAGAGAGGGCATCCCTGTCTTGTTCAACATAGTCCTCGAAACACTGGCCAGAGCAATTAGACAGACAAAAGAAATTAAAGGCATAAAAATAGGAAAAGAAGAACTTAAATTATCACTATTTGC